ACTCCAGCTGGCTCCAGCGACCAGAGCTGGCTTCTACCCTCTGTGCTGCTGGAGCCTTGGCATGAAAAATGGGCTTTTCCTTCAGGCTGGAGCCACTTCCTTTTGCTCCTCAGCTGCACACCCCAGCAAAGGCTCCTGCCCCTGGCACAAAGCCTCTTGTAAAGCTGCCAGCCAGTGAAGAGCCACTCTAGGAGATCCAAGAATTTGACAACTACTATTTTTATCTCACTTTGTTCCAGAGGCTGGTACAGCCTCAGCTCAGTGCTGGGACAATGGGTTTGGTGGCTGAGACAGAGCAGGATTCATCTTACTGAACTTTGCAGATATCTACCTCTGAGCTGGTCATCCTAGACTAGCTTTAAACAGGCAATTGGAGAACATGGCTCTTCTTGGACTTATTTCATCCCAGAGAATCTGCATGAAGTGAAATCACAGGCAGAAACACCCCCTTTCCTCGGGATGAACAGGGAGAAGTCTGGCTCCCAATCCTCACTGACAGCACAGAGAACTGAGGCAAACATCTGACCAGGGAGTGCAGCCTCCTGTGGTCCTTTTAACTTAGACCTTTTAGCTCTGGGAAGGCAACTTCTCCCAACGAGAGCAGTAGATTCCTGCCTCCCAGCCAGCTGTGGCGTGGTCACAAGTTCACCACAGCACTGCCAAGTCACCCAACCATGGACTTCTGCTCCTTGAAGCCCCCCAGGCAGGACTGGCCCTTCATGTCACACTCTGTGCCCAGTACACTGAAGGATAGTGGTGCCTGGAGTAGGCCTGGGAGTTGGGCACTTGTGTTGCCTTAACACCAGTGGACTTGGCAGCGTTGTGTTAACGGGGGGACTCGATGACCTTAATGGTCTTTTCCAAGTGAAGTGTTTCCAGGACAGCTCTCGAACACCTCACCTGATGGAAGAAGTAGGTGACTGCCAGGTCGTTGTCGTTGAGGAGAACCTCCTCCTCTGTGGTGAAGAGCCATTTCCGGATGGTCAGGCACGTCCCCGGCACCGCCGAGGTGTAGTTCTGCACGTACAGTTTGTGGGGGAATTCGTTGGGCGCCAGTTTGCGCACTGGAAAAAGCACAGGACGGGGCAGTGTCACCACCAGCACCAGGACCTAGTTCTGCCCCAAGGCTCCTTCTTGCCCTCCCTGACCAAATCCAGCTTTTCCCCAACACCTCCTTCCACAGCAGCAGACCCTGGACCCTGCCAGTCCCCTGCAATTGCCCCTGTGGCTGCTGAGAGCTCAGGGCGGCTCTGGAGCATCAGCACAACAGCCCAGCTCCATCCCTGGGGTGCACAGGGAGGTCCTGCCTAAGCCTGAGCATCACAGTTGTCCTGGACCTAGGAACTGGCCTCGGAGAGGGGGGGACTGGAGAAGGTCCCATCCTGGCAGAGCCTGGACAAACCCTGCTGCATTGCTCAGCCAAGCTGCAGCCCCTGTCCAGACTCTGCCTGTGTTCAAACCTGCATTACCCAGCTATGATGGACAAGAGGGGAGTGCCAGGGCACCACCTTCACCACGTAGGGATATGGCCACTATCTTACTGCAGATGGAGCTGACGGTTTCCAGTGAGTGCATCCAGACAGGAATAAATGTGGATGTTCACAGCAAGTGTCCAGAAAGCACAAGCCACAAAGGTTGGGAGTTGCCCCTCGCAGGAATGAGGAATTCACAGCTCCAGTGGGAGTCTGGAACTGCAAAAGCTTCCTCAGGGAGTGTGCCAGGTATTCCCACTCCAGGCTCCCCCACAGCCCTGCCCGGCCTCCACAACCCCAACGCATGGTGACCCTCCAGCCCTGGACTTCTCTCCCCGTGTCCTGCACCCCGTGACCCTCAGAGTGCTGCAGAGGCAGCTCAGAGATGCCAGTGGTTTTACAGGAGCCTGGTGAGCTCGGCTGCCCTGGGGTCAGCCTCTGCTTGCAAACCCAGCCTGTTCTGCAGGATGAGTCAGTTGAGGAGGGCTTTAAGGAGCTAAAAATTGCCCTGGCTCTTCAGCCAGAACCTTGTGAGCATGAGGAACAGCCCTAGAAATCTCTTCCTACAAGGCATAGTTTGCTGTAACAACAGGATGAGTTTGAGGCGTACAGAGATGACAATCCAGAAGTGAAGTTACCCAGCTGGGAATGAGAAACACACTTGGCTCAAAACCCAGCACAGGGAAAAAAGAATTAAACACAAACCAACCACTACACCCATTTTGTGGTGTGGCCACGACATCTTGGCCTCTCTACAGCTTCAGTGAACGCAAGTGGGTGAAACCAGAGACTGCTGTGGCCAGGAATCTGAACTGCAGCCAGAAGACCCCAGCATGTGCTGGGCTGAAGGATGGCAATTACTTAAGTGCCAGAATGATCGCCTGGAATCCCACTGCCAAGCCTCAAATACCAACAGGATTTAACCACAGAAGGAGAGAGGAGAAGCTGAGATCAGGGCTCCTGGTTTTGTGAGGAGAGGCAGGACCTAACAGAGCGCTGGCACTGCAGAGCTTTGTCCTCAGTGGCTCGTCAGCACCAAGGGGATTAGAAGACTCACCGAAGGAGTGATTGATCACTTCAAACAAGGCAAAGTAGTTTGCAGTAATACTGTCCATCCCAACCTTGGCAGCCACAGCCTGCAAAGGGACAGGAAATGGGGTGAGCAAAAGAGGAGCCCGCTCCAGGGCAAAGTCAGCTTCATACAGGTTATTCCCAAGTATCCCCCAACCCAAGGCATTAGTGCAGTGCTGGTTGAAGTCAGTTCTCCTTAGTTTTCCACTTAAAGCACCAGGCCTCCAGCCATTTGCAAACCCATAACTTGGCACTACCCTCAATATCCAACTTGCTGCCCTGCCACAGAGCCCCCCGTGTTGGCTGCTGCCAGCTCGGGGCCCCCACTGCAGTGCTGACACACTCCAGCCAGTGCTCAGAGCCACCCACTATCAGGTACTAACTCAGCCATGGCTCCATCCTTGCAGCTGAGCTGCCAGCACAAACACTGCTTCAGCACGGCCCGAGGTGAGAGTTTCCCATTGTCCCCCTCATCCCGCAGCGTCGCTTGTGCCCAGTGGCACTGGAAAGGAGCAGAGAGAAGCAGGCGGATTCCCAGCTCGTGTCCGAGTCTTCCAGTCAAGGCAAACGAGGAGCTCACCTGGTACACCTGGTCTGTTGTGCTGTTCTTCTTGACTCGGACTGTCACGGTGGTGATGTCCGGTAACGCCACCCGGAGCTCCACATCCGAGACACCGTTGTAGTTCTGAGGGAGGGAGAAATCAGCATCACCCCCCCTGAGCTCTACAGACCATCGACTGCCCCGTTAAAATCCAAGCCCCCTGCTGGAATCCCATTCCTGCCTGCACCAGAGGAATTGTGACAGAAGGAAGAGGTGAGCTCTGCTCCCACCAGGAAGCTGAGCAAACTGCTCCAGACCATGATGGGCTTGGGTTTTCCATGCATGGGACGTGCACCCCGGAAAGGTTGGGAAGAGAACAACAGCAGAAGGGCAAACAGCAAGCACTGCTGCTGCCTGCAGGCCCCTCTCAGGAGGGGCAATCACACAGACTGTGCTCAGAGTGCCTGTTGCTTCTGGCCAAAGGCTGATGAATACCAACAGCTCCTGAATATGAAGCTCCCCAGGCTGCCACCAGCACGAAACCAGCAGGGAAGTCACCAAATATGGGTTGGTTTTGCAGGGTTTCCCCTTGCAAGGAGCCAGGGCATGCACAGAGGCCACGGGGCTGCTTCTGTTCCATGCACACATCGGGGAGCAGCAGCAAAGCTGCTCCTTGATGCTATGGAGAAAAGGCTTCTCACAGGCAGCAAACTGCAGCCTTCATGTTTCTACCATGGTTTTCTACTCAACCAAGCGAGGCTTTGGCAGGGAATGTCTCTGCTCTCTGATCCAGCTTTCCCAAGTGCTCCCAGCCTCTCTAACAGAGACGGTGAAGGCAGAGCTTTGGTGCCTCCATCCCTACCTCGTCTGACTCCGACAGGAACTCCTGCATGATGTCGCTCTCCCCAATGACACGGATGGAGCACACTGCAGGACAGGGAGCACAGGTCAGTGGGGAGCCCTGGGGATGGGGGACGCTCCCCTCCCAGCACCAGCCCAAAAGTGACATGGAAACAACAGTGTGACATAAGGCTGGTACCTCCAGCCCAAAACCCCTTCTCAGAACAGAATGCTGTGTGCTGCTGGTGGAGGGGCACTGCACAGGCACCGTTATGCCACGGCAAGTCCGAGCTCCCTCTCACCACTTCATCCATCAAATCCAATCCAGCTCCAAATGAGCTTCTCAGGTGAACAAGTGTCCGTGAAGCACCGGCCCCCGGTGGCAGGTCCCTGGAGGGTTTGTCTAAGTACCTTTCTCCAAGTATTCCTCCAGCCCTCGCCGCCGGGCATCCAGCTGCTGCTCCGACAGGGAGAACGGCCACTTCCCCGGGAGGCGCGGGAAGGTGAAGTTGGCAAACTCCCGTTTCAGGTTCTGGTGCAGGATGGCGAATTCCCGGTACCGCTTGGAGCAGAGCTGCCGGCCCGCCATGTACACGTTGTACACCTGCAGGAGGAGAGGAGCTTTCCACTCACTGCCTCCTTCCAAGCCCCTTCACCCCACTGAGGGACACGCAGCTCCCTGGCTCTGGAAGAACAGTGACAGCACGTGCAGCAGAGGGAAAACCTGCTGTGGCCGTGGGGAGGGCTGTGCTCCTAACAACGAGCAGCTCTCTGCAGGATAATGCTGCTCTTGTGGCAGCCTCCTGGCTCTGCCAGTCGCTGGCTGAAGCTTGGGGCCAGCTGGGGCTCTGCTGCCCCTCACCATGCTCCTGGTGCTGGTGACACATGAGCACTACACAGTCAGGCTGAGCAAGGAGCTGAGCAAGGCCAGGCAGAGCAAGGGGTTAACAACACCCCACATGCTGCAAGAAGACAGAGCTCAACAGGTGAGTGTCTTTGCCCAACCTGGTTTGGGTCTCTCTCCAGCCACAACCATTCCCGATGAGCCAGAACCAACGTCAAGCCTCGAGGATGCCCCCGTGCCAGGTACATGCTGACAGCTCCCATTAGCTATGAAAGGACCTCCAGCCTCCCCAGCAGATGAGGCAGGGAACCCAAAGGGAAAAAGACTTTCCACAGCTATTTCCCCAACATTCCCTAAAGGAAAGGGCTGGAGATGGGAAGCTGCGCTTCAGGACATCTGTTCCCTTCGCTTGTACAGCTACCACAGATGTCCTTCACACTTGGTGTAAAACAGGAGACACGAATACAAGACAATAACAACATCCTGTGTAAACTTCATGGGAGATGAGGCTACACCAGACACGTTAATGAAAAGCTTCTCAGCACCAGCCAACACTGTGCTTGTTATTCCTTTGCAGCTGTGAGTGAGGGCGGGCAAGCCTCAACCAGGTAACTGAAAGTGCCTCCATCCCGAGGGCAAACAGAGCTCTGCCACCAACTGTCCCTCACAGCACGGAGCTGACACATCCCAGCTCCAGGACGCTCCACCCCAGCTCATACTGACCACAAACTTCTCGCCGTTCTGCTCCACGTGCTTGTAGGTGGGGATGGAGATGGGCACGGCCTGTTTCTCCGTGTAGTCGTAGAAGGACTGCCCCAAGGAGTCATCGCTGGGATCCAGGTTATCTGCCTCGTGGGGAGGCACCGACAGCACCGTCAGGATTAACTCCTTCTCGCCCGCGCGGATCAGGTCCACCACTTGCTTGTGTGTGGCTCCTTCCACGTTCACCCCGTTCCTGTGAGAGGGAAAGAAGAAAAGCCATAAGCAAGGCTGAGGTGATGTCAGAGCCTTCCAACAAGCCAGGACCAGCCCAGGGACCCTCAGAGCTGCTTCACAAGAAGATGCCTCCAGCCTCAACGGCTCCACTTCCACTCTGGTCTGAACTTCACTGCTTTTCCCTACTGGTGATTTCTGCCTGCTGCCCACAGACACAGCTCACACTTCTTTGACAGGTTCACAATCATCCTTGGCTATTTAAAACAAGCGCTGCAGTTTTTACCATTCCTCAGTGGAGGAAGCAGGAAAGCAAGACCCTTCCTCAGCTGAAGGCAAACGCAAGGGGAGCAGGGAGCTGAGGAAGAAAGCACTGTAGAAACACCTCCTGCCCTGCCAGGGCAAAGCCACCTCCTGATCCTCCACAGCTCCAAAGCCAAAGGGGATTTCCCTGAACCCGAATTGAAGGTTCCAGGTGCATGAGGATGAGAAAGGAGGCAAAGGGGCTCCGAGAGCCAAAGGAAGTGATGTGGGGAGCTGGCGCTCCCATCCACCAGGACACAGCACGCAGGAGCACACCCGCTCTGGCGCACCAGGAGATGCACCTTCACTCCACTTGTAGGCAAACTGCTCTGAACCAAGTTCAAACCCTCAGGGCTTTGCCCACACCAGGAGGGCAGTGGCCAAGGCACCTCCATGTGTGCCAGCCCTGCCTCAAGAGGGAAGGACGAAGGCAGGAGAGGTTGGTCACCACCCCACGCTCGGCCTCGGGCCCATCTCCAGCTGCAGCCCGGGCTCTGGATGACCCCACTGCAGGATGTGCTGGCCCGTCTGCAAAGGCAAGGCTGGGGTTTAGTTATCCAGCCAGGCTGGAACAGGCTCCTCAGCTGGAACTTCCCACCACTGAAGACCTCTGACACTGCAGTTTCCCTTCTGCCAGCAGACTGAGAACCAACGTGCTGCCGCTTCCTCCTCTTCCTCTCCCACACCTTCCTCAGGCCCTGGTGCCTCCTGCTGCCACCCACTGCCACCAACCCTGGGAGGGGACAAGGCCAAGACCTCGGGATCCCAACACTAAGAGTGCAATGCACCATTCCACTCACACCCCCCCAGTGACACCCATTCCAGCCCACTGTGGAGATGATCTGCCACAGCAGCCCTGCAGCCCCTCTGCTCTGCAGGTGCATGGGGCTGGAGCACTCACACCTTTGCAGGAAGGTCACTATAGCAGCTCAGATGGAACCACATCCCTCAGATGGAACCACATCCCACAAGGAAAGGGAATGGGAAATCATCTGACACAGGAGCTGGAAGCAGCAGGTGAAGCGAGGGGAGCGCTGCCTGGGTGGACCTGTGGGATCCGAGAGCCAAATCACCCTCCCCGAGACAAGAAGACACTTGGGTACTTTGCTCCTCAAGCTTCTGCTTCCATCTGGACTTGGAGAAAAGATCCAGCCGTTACCTTCACCCTTCCAGGGGATACACACGGTGCCAGGAGAGCGCTGCTGAGCTGACCAAGGGCTGGGCCCCTCTGTACCTCACAGAAAGGATGCTCAGATACAACAGCAGCAGATGACCAGGTCCAACAAATCCCTCCCTCCATGAAGAAGGTCCCACAGACAACACCCGGATCTCTTCTGTGTACAACTCTGCAAACCCTGCAGGATGCAGCCCCCAGCAAGGCCTGCCAGGCTTCAGCAGCACTTGAAGAGCAGCTTCAAGATCCCTTCTCTTGGCTGCCCATCACCTAATGTGGAGAAGGTCACACCAGGAGCATGAAGTTCCATCACCTTCCCCTGCAGTCTCCTTCCCTCAGCACTTGGCTTCCTCTTGGCCTCGCTGGGATGTGAGCTGCCTGCAGGAAAAGCTCCAAAAGACCCTGCTGGGGGGGCAGAGGAGCCTGGAGTCTGCTCAGCACGATGAGGTTAAAATGCCTCTTTGAGATGAGTTTCCAAGACTCCCCCAGACCTGCTGCCTCCTCCAGCGTGGTGCAGAGAACGTCTCATCCACTGCCTGTGTTTGAAGCCCTGGACACCTATTGAGTGCTCTCGGCAGGGACAGGAACTGCTGGCAAACCCCAGGACACCCCCAGGATGAAGCACGTGCTCCACACAGCAAAATTCCCCATCGTACCAACCCCCATGAGCAACATCCCCAAGACACAGGGAAGAACATTTCACTTCTCCAATTTGTGCACCGAGTGACTCATTTTCTGCAAAGACTTCTTAAAATCTCCCAACTCTCTGTCTGTCAAGAGATGACAAGGAAATTTACTGCAAGAAAGGCTGCAATAAGCTTCCTGGAGATTAAGACCAGAAGCCTCTTGGAACATTTTGGGGGAGTTTTAAGGTGCATTTTTAAGTGCATGGCTCTGGCAAACAGCGAGAGCTGCTCACCTGCCCTATCAATGATCACCTCTGAAAGCAGACAAAGCTTGGTAACAGTTCCCAAGGTGAAAACTGAAATACTACTGAGGAGCACCCAAGCACTGACTCGGTAGCTGGAAGTTGTTAGTCCTCCTGGAAAAGGAGCAGTATTTCAGACACTTCAGAAACCAAACCTTCATCTGGAAACTCAGGAGCAGTTCACTGCAATCAGCTTCTACACCAGCAATAGGAGACATGATCTAGGTCAAGGTCTCTTTGGGTTTTCCTGCCCTGAGCTATCGGAAGAGCCACCCCGAGAAGACCAGTGATGGCCAGAGCAAGCCCTGGTGCCAGCACAAAGCGGGACTCGATGCGTAACCTTCTGACCACCATCCAAGCAATGACTTTTACCCATTCCTTTTGCAGACCCAGGTTCTCCTCCAGCTCAGTTCAAGCTGCTGACAACCAAGTTCCAGCCTGTGACAGCAGTTCTGGTTTCCCACAGAGCTCTGAGCAACATCAATGAGCCCCTGAGGACACTGCAGAGCACGGCACAGGACACTGCTCCAGAGGTGCCAGGGAAGAGCCCACAGGGTCCCAGGCTCCAGCTCATCCCAGTCCTGCACTGAGGGTGTCCATAATGCCTCTCCATGACATTCCAGTGTGGAGCTGGCATTTTGCAGACACAGGTTTGAATCCCAGTGAAAGGAATCTCTCCCCCTTGTATTTCACTGCCGCTGCTTCCTCAAACTGGTGGATAAGGAAGGGAAATGGGGGGTACAGAAAAAGCCACCCCAACGCACGAGGCACCAACGTCCAGCACATCCCCATCGGGAGCCATCTGACCACTTCCTAAGGCACTGGCCCGTTTGCTTCGTTGCCTTGAGCCGACCAAAGCAGGAGCAGAGAGCACAGAAATGGGTTTAAACCTCTCCAGGCTTCAGCCACCGCGCTCGTTCCTCGGCACACACAGAATTCCATCTAAACATGCTGCAGAAGTGAAACCAGGGGAGATAAAAAGGCTCCTGCCTTTATCTAACTGTGGGCTTAATGGAAAACCCAGAGCACGAGGGTTCCTCATTTACCCACTGCTGGTACCTCGCAAGGAAGAGACGACAGAGCTGCAGCGAGCACCGGCTCTGAGGTGCCATCAGGAGACCCCAACTCCTCCCAGTTCTAATCCAGAGCCTTAACTGCAGCCTTGTTCACAACGGGGGAAGATGCTGGCCCATGGTAACGCTCCGAAAACATGCACAGGGAAGCAAGGGACAGAGCTGGGAAAGGCTGGGGAGAATTCGGGAATGCCCCCGGGAAGACGGTGTGGTTAAGAGGTGGGAGGAGGAAAGATTGGTGATCAGCTGGTGATTAGATGGATCCTTCCAGGCTTTTCCAAAGCAGAACCAGCTTTTTCTGTCCCAAGTCAGTACACAACATGAGACTTTAGACCAAGAAGAGATAAAGAGTTTAATCTCCCAAGGGAAATGCCTTTTACCAGCAGCTCCCTACTAAGAGCAGGGAGAAGCTGCCTCCAGTGGGGTTATTCCATCAGGAGCTGTGTGAGGGGTACAACCCTGGTCGCCCCCAAGGCTGCAACCCACGGGGATGGGAGCAGCGATGCTCAATCCATCCCTCCTGTATCCCTCTTGTTCCAGTGATCCTGAGCCCAACAGGGCAAACGCAAGGAAGCTTTTCTTCCCTGTCAAGATTAGTTATGATTGTCATTCAGGGTGATAATCAAGAACGAAATTAGCTTTCATTGTGTGTCTCCAATGCCCTCAACACCCACAAACACACTACGAGCTAAGAAGATTAGAGGGCACACCACAGCTGTGCTGCAGAACCAGCCTGCGAAGGGAAGAGGCCTGAGCTGGGCGCGACGTATGGGAGCGCGACGCAGGGAAGGGTGGCAAGAAGGGACTTTGTGGCAGGCACAGGACTAAATAAATCCTTCAGACCACACCTGGAGCGTCCTCTGGGTTTGGATGAGGAGCAGGAGATGGGTTGTGCAGAGGAAAACCACACTCCCATTACTGTGGCCAGAGGTGTCCGTGTCCTGCAGCACCACACGCGTCCAAAGCGAGCTAGGGAAGAGAGGTGGGACAAGAGAGCCCACGGACACATCCCATGTCACTCTGCAGCAGGCCGTGCAGTGGAACGATCTTGTCTCTCAGGCTCCTGCTCCCAAAACCTCTCTCCCAGGCCAGCCCGCTGGGAGCTGTGGGAAGTGGAACCAAGATCCCGCTTGGAAACCCAGAGGGCGTTCAGAGAACACCCAACTGCACACGCCATCAGCACCGGGGCACGGCACGAGGGCCGCAGAGGTGCTGAGCAGGCACCAGCTCCCCCCGGAGCC